ATATACAAGTTATTGGAATGATATATATATATATATTAGGTATTAGATACATACTACTGAGTAGCAGTTGAATGTTTGAAGTTGTTTCAACAGTTCAATTTTTTAACAGTCTCACTGCCCGCGGGAAGAAACTGTCTCCGAATCTTCTTGTCCTTGCCAGGATGCTGCGGTAACGTCTGCCAGACGGCAACAGAAAGAACAGTTTGTGGCTGGGGTGATGGGGGTCTTTGATAATCCGTAGTGATTTCTTCCTGAGCCGCTGGGAGTAAAGGTCCTCCATGGATGGCAGCTCCGTCCTGGTGATGTGCTGTGCAGTTTTCACCACCCTCTGTAAAGCCTTACGATCGAGGTCGGTGCAGCTGCCGTACCAGGCCGTCATGCTGCCAGTGAGGATACTCTCTATCGTGCACCTGTAGAAGTTGCAGAGTATCCTGGAATCCATTTTGAACCTCCTCAACCTGCGGAGGAAGAAGAGCCGCTGTCGAGCTTTCTTGGTGATGGTGGTGGTGTGAAGAGACCATGTCAGGTCCTCAGTGATGTGGACCCCAAGGAACCTGAAGCTTTTGACTCTCTCCACCGTAGTCCCATTGATGGCGATGGGGGCGTGTCCCTCTCCCTGCTGCTTCCTGTAGTCCACAATCAGCTCCTTTGTTTTGCTGATGTTGAGATGGAGGTTGTTCCTTCCCGGAGCATAGAGGAGGCAACCAGCACCCTCTTCAGTGCACTGAGACCAAGGGGTTACTCGAGGCGATTCCTTAGAAGCATCAAAGCAGAGGTCGGCCGAACTTTTAAAGATAAATACAACACCATCTCAACCCAGCCTTCCGGCCCGACCCTCGTCCCCTGATCACCAACTATTCCAAGGACCTGGGGAGCCTTTTAGTAAGTAAGTAAGTAAGTAAAACTTTATTTATATAGCACCCTTCTCAACACGGATGTACAAAGTGCTTTACAGTACAGTACACAGGACACAATTCAAAGTACAACTATAAAATGTAGAAGGCATAAAACAGCAGCAGGTAATACATAGGATAAAACACCAATAAAAGACAGCCACTAACTCACCTCCTCCGACGACCCAAAGGCCTGTCGGAAAAGGTGGGTCTTTAACTGCCCCTTAAAAATCTCTACTGAGGCAGAGGCTCTGGGGGAGTTTGTTCCAAAGCCTTGGGGCCACCACCTCAAAGGCACGGTCCCCCTTAGTTTTTAGCCTGGTTCGGGGCACCCTTAGGAGGCCTTGCTCAGAGGACCTCAGGGCCCGGGTTGTGCTGTGAGGGAGGGTCAGGTACTTTTTTTTAGGCGACCTCAGGTCCAACTTTGAGGGGGCGAGGGCGGACAGTGATGCACTGCGGCAATGTCGGCTGATCTCCGCTTACCGCAGAAATAAAAACTTGAAGGACCTCCTAGTCCACACCAATTTTAACAAGAAAACACCGAACAGGGAGGCGCCTTGCGTCTCTGAGGTTGGTTTCATCCACCTCCACCACATTTTTAACCCATTCAGTAGAGCCGGAGCAAACCTTGGACAAGCCCTGACACCTAACACAAAGAATGCAGTATGTGCTGTCAGGTGCAGGGCCTGCCACAGGCTCTATGTGGGGGAGACACAGAATGAGATCAGCCTCAGAATCAAACAACACATTTATCAAATGAATAGCAGTGACGGCACGAGCATTTTATATGCACATTTTAAAGTCCACGGCCCAGATAAGGTACAATCCTCGGGCCTGGAGAGCAACAGGGACTGGACCACGGACCAGAGACAGGCGGCGGAGAGGAGGTGGATTCATCGACAGAAAACAATCGACCCCACCGGTCTAAACGAGAGGTACCGCTGATGGATCCGCCTCCCCTTCTTTATAACCCGCTTTAACTGATTTTGATCTCCTACCCTTCCCATTGCCTCTCCCCTGGGTGGCCTTTTGAACCCCCTCTCTGCGGGCCGATATGAAGGAATCCAGTTGTTTTTATTTTAATATTTGAACCATTAATTTGATCAAATATATTATTTTACATTTTTATTTATTTTAATACTTATATTTATCTTATTTTATTTATTGTTTGTTTTTTATGGAACTATTAATTATTTATTAATTATTTATTTCATCCGAGCAGGAATGAAGGGACCTTCCTCAGCCGGACCCTTTGTCCAGCATGGGTTGCCTTTTTGAAGATGTTGTTGTTATTTATATTTCTATATATCTTGTAAATACTTTTAATTTTACTTTAAATTTTAAGTGTAAGTGTTTAAGAAGTCATTTTAGATACTTGCGGCCTGTCCTATGTGGAATCTTTTAATTTATGAACCTGGGTCCTACTGGTTTTAATCACACTTTATTTTATGACAATTCGTTCCTTATTATTGTGTATTTATTTATTTATTTATTTATTTATTTATGTATTTATTTATGTATTTATTTATTCAGCATGAATTTGTTTTGTTGTGTGAATTCTTTACAAAACACTTTTTTACCTTGGACACTGTTCTATTCATTGTATTGTTTACCTGCATGCTTTTTCAAGATGTCGTCTCATGAATGTTTTCACACCATTGCCAGGCCTTTTGAAGGGTTCCCTAAGGACGGGTCCTCGTCAGCCACATCCTTTAGGGGTCCCTGGAAGGTCTCTAGGTCCCGCTGCTCTGCCTCCTCTGGGATCTGGTCTCCTCTTGTTTTTTAATTGATTTTACTTATTTGTATTCTTATTTTTAACAGGGCTTTTAGAAACATTGTATGTATTTCCCTTGGAGTTTTTTAGAAGGTTTTTTAACCACAATATTATCCCCGAGAGCCAGTGCCCCACGCAGCGCTCCCCTCTCACCCTATCCTAACCATAACCCTAAGACCCACGACCAAGCAAAACAAGTTCCATTTCTTGTGTGGCCGAATGTAAAAAAGGGGCGAAATGGAGAAGGGCCAAATTGGGAATAATTTAGGGGCGAATTGGGAAGACACCGCATTTGGTACCTCGGCATGCGATTAAGAGTTTTATTTGTTTTGTATTATCAATCTGCAAAAACCTGTACCTGTTTGTGCTGGTGAATGTAAATATAATATACTTAGGTAGTGAATTAAACCCAGTGGTGTTCAGTAACTAAGTACATTTACTCAAGTACTGTATTTAAGTACAAATCTGAAGTACTTATACTTTACTTGAGTATCTTAATTTTTTGCTACCGTGTACTTCTACTCTTCTACAGTTCAGAGGTAAATGGTGTACTTTTCCTCCACTACATGTATTTAATACCTTTAGTTACTTCACAGATGTGGATGAATGATGTGAAATATAATCAAGTGTTAAATCAGACTTTAGTTCCACCTGGAGTAAATCCACAAGCTACCCTGCAGTATACAAAGTCATTCAAACTAGCTGCACCTTTACCAGCTTTGAGAACACTTTCATGATCAATCATTATAAAACATATCATATATATTATTCTGAAATGGACCAATCTGCACAATGACTACTTTTACTGTCGCTACTTTCACTATATTTTGATGATAATACTTTTCTACTTTCACTTGAGGAACATTTTGAATGCAGGACTTTTACTGAAACAGAGTATTCCTACACGCTGGTACTTCTACTTTTACTCAAGTACAAGATCTGAGTACTTCTACTTTTACTAAGTACAAGATCTGAGTACTTCTACTTTCACTCATCTCTTGGTATTGCATACACGTAGATGGCATAAAGGAAACGCAAAACGTAAAAATATAAGTAAACTTTGCTGTTAACATTTATCTTCTTCATCAAATGTAACTCGAGGAGGGGCATTGGTTATTTTAGTGCAACAGTGAGGGGTGCAGGGATGTGGTATTTCTGTGTTGGACCCTGAAGGCACCATCTCCCTGCTCCAACGTTGACATAAAAAGTATTTCTCAGTTCATGAATGCATGCATTGGTAAAGAAAATCATTGTCTAATAACTGCCAGAGGTTTTTATCCCCTGCAGTCTGCACTGCTGACGTTTTCCCGACACAATAATACAAAAACACTTCATGTTATTGCATTTTTTTATTGAAAAACCAAAAAGGAAACACTTACAGAGAACGGGCACCGAGATCTAATCCTGTTTACTGATGTTCTGCAAAGCTGGGCCTCATTGAGCATCTTTAGCGAGGTGTTTGTGGATGATTGAATGACTAATGAATGAGCCCTGCTTCAGTTGATCACAGAACTAGTCACTAAACAGCTGTTTCATCCACTGTGTGAAACAAAAGGCTGATCTCTAATCTAACGAACCAAACCATCCTTCAATAAACCAACCAGTGAGTATTCATCTGAGGAAGTGTTCTCGCTGGTGAACTGTAGAAGAATATTGTTTAAAATGTCATCACCAGTTCATCTATTAATACACTTTGGTGTGGGCTTATGTGTTATCTAGTATGAACACTTTTTTTTTTTTTTTTTTTTTAAAGAATATGTGTATTTAAGTAACTTACAGCACTGATGCATTTAGGTTTTTTTCTCTAGATTTGAAGCAATTGCCTGATACTTAACAATCCTTAAGTCCATTTCTATTCATTAACTCAGTGCTTATCCCTCTTTATGATTATCCATCTCAAAAATACAGCGGTTCTTTTTTTTTTACAATGAATTCCAGGCTACTAACACCACGGTAACATATGTAGAGAGAACGGGGTGATATCCTCCACCATAGTGTTAGGAAGTTTTAAATTAGAGAGACAAACACTTTCTGAAGAGTGTGATGACGTAAGATATGAAAAGAAAGTGATAACACTGCCAAAAAAGACATTTTCAATCGGGGAAACACCAAGCTAAGCAACGTGTTAAGGTGTGGAAGGGAGGGTTACAAAACACACCCGATCCTGGTGCTCTGAAGGAAGAATAATCTGCAGAACTGTTGACGTACAACCTTCAAATCAACCGTAAACCCACCCTAACTCGTACAAACAACACATGAGACCTGCAGCACACGATATCAAGTTATTATTGATGTCTTTGCACAGGTCTCAGAAGGGTCTCCTCTGTCAGCGCACCCTACTCTCTAGTTTTTTGGAGTCCCTCTGTCCCCTCCTCTCTGTCCCCTGGAAGCTGTCTTTTCATTGGCTGTCGCTCTCGCCCAGGAGCCAATAGGTGGTCATCTTCCCTTTGCCCTTCACGTCGATCTCCCTTCTCCTCTCCAGCTGGAAGCAGTTAAACTCCTGCAAGATGTCGTGAGTCGCCGCCGACACGTGGATCTTCAGTGCCACACACACACACACACACACACACACACACACACACACACACACACACACACACACACACACACACACACACACACACACACACACACACACACACACACACACACACACACACACACACACACCACACACACACACACACACACACACACACACACCACACACACAGACAGACAGACAGACAGACAGACAGACACACACACGTTAGTTAGCTAGCTTTCAGCAGATCTGCAGTAACATCAGAAGGAGTCATGTGATCACATTGTTAAAATAAGACCATCAAACATTTTAGGTAAGTTTCCAGCAACAGAGACAGTTGTTCAGCTTTATAATCCTGAACGTCACCAAGTGCTCCGTCCCAGATGTGTGCGTCACTCTTAAGTGTCCCCTGGTCTCCCAGCTGTGTGCGTCACTCTTTAGTGTCCCCTGGTCTCCCAGCTGTGCGCGTCACTCTTTAATGTCCCCTGGTCTCCCAGCCGTGTGCGTCACTCTTTAGTGTGCAGTACATCAGAGCTGTGCAGTTAAGTGAAAACATACTGATGAATCTGCACAACATAAAGACATGTCTGACCTTCGCCGCTGGACTCCATGCGTGACGACGTGTTGACGGTGTCTCCGAACAAACAGTAGCGCGGCATCTTCAGACCCACCACCCCCGCACACACCGGCCCTGCAGAGGAAACACACGGCAAGCTCATGCATCTCCAGAGCAGTGCATATAAAATAGTCCTGATCTAACATACTATTATTGTAAACGTTAAATGTAATGCAGCACTTGCTTTTGCAAACATCCAACACTTTACACAACAAATCCAGAAGAAAAGTATGTTGTGCATAAAATTAGAGCAGAATAAAAACACTAACATTTCAATTATCCGAAGTGGTTCACTTTGTTTAATCCATAATATATATGTTCTTACTCGTCATGTTATCTTTTAACCTGGTGCAGAATGTTAGGTCTTTGCACACGACTGCTGCTCGGCTATCGGCCCGAGGGTCGCTTTCATTACCTTTACAGCTTTGCATTGTTGGAGGAGCGTCTTGGTTAGAGCTGTGTGTGTGTACTCACCGCTGTGAACTCCTATCCTCAGCTCCAGCTGCTGCTCGGGCCGGTGGCAGATCTTGAATGTTCGCACGGCGTGCAGCAGGGCGAGCGCCATGCGGGCGATTTCCCTCCCGTGCAAGTTCCCGTTCCTCACCGGCAACCCCGACACCACCATGTAGGCGTCGCCAATCGTCTCCACCTGCAGGGGGGAGGGGTGCACTCCATTTTACGTGTATTTAATGTATACGTTTAAAAAACTTCCACACAGAGCTAATTCTTCTTTTTTTATTGAAACTACGGCGGCCTCCAGGTGCCAACACGCTTCTACGGCCCAGAACTCAGGAGAAACACGCTGCAGCTTCAGAAAGGATGCAGATATAAAAACACAAATGTTCCGCACGAAGAAACATCTTCATCAACTTGACAACACGTGCAGCGTTTAGAGAACATTCAGCAACTTGAGGAGACATGCAGCGTTTACTAAAAGCTGCAGAAACCAAACGCTGAAGAAGCTCAAACCACAACGGAAACCAGGGGACACTAAAGAGTGACGCACACAGCTGGAGACCAGGGGACACTAAAGAGTGACGCACACAGCTGGGAAACCAGGGGACACTAAAGAGTGACGCACACAGCTGGAGACCAGGGGACACTAAAGAGTGACGCACACAGCTGGGAGACCAGGGGACACTAAAGAGTGACGCACACAGCTGGAGACCAGGGGACACTAAAGAGTGACGCACACAGCTGGGAGACCAGGGGACACTAAAGAGTGACGCACACAGCTGGGAGACCAGGGGACACTAAAGAGTGACGCACACAGCTGGGAGACCAGGGGACACTAAAGAGTGACGCACACAGCTGGGAGACCAGGGGACACTAAAGAGTGACGCACATTGGAACATTTGTGTTCTTATATCAGCACGTTTCTCCTGAAGGAAATGTTCTGGTCGTTGTAGAGGGTTAGCTCCTCTCGGCCTCCGTATGAACACATTCAGATTATTTTCTTAAAGAGAATAGTCTGTGTTGTTTTTCCACCTTGTAAACATCAAAGTTGTCGATGATGGCGTCGAAACAGGTGTAGAGGTCGTTGAGCAGCGTCACCACCTGCAGAGAAACAACCTTATTATATTATAATACTATATATCATATATTATAATATGAATATAATACACACTCATAAGCATGTCTCTGTTCACAGGATTACCTGCAGATACCACTCTCAGAAAGTATAATTTTTCAGCAATAATATCTTTATAAATATAAATACACCACTGTAATATTCCAATGTTTACATATGTATTGTTGTTATATATCATAATAAAATGTACACATTGAATAATTACATATATTAAATGTTAAATATCAATATATGTTTAAAGGAGAGGTGTCATGGCCATTTCCACTGATCATAATTCCATTGTTGAGGTCTACTAAAATAGATTTATATTGTGCATTTTTCCAAACTCACATTGGTTTCTCATACAGCATCTCTGTAAACTACTTGTATTCACTGAATTTCACTCTCTGCCTTTAACGGCTCGTTGTAGCTCCAATAGCTCCAGCCCCCACCCTCCCTGTGAGCACAGTGTGCTCTGATTGGTCGGGACGTTGTGAATCGCGCTGAGCTCCGTGGAGGTGTTGTTTCCTTGTTTAGGATACATAGCGAAACACAGCCAAATTCATCCTGAGCACACACAAACTCACATCCGAAGTAAAAACAATAAGTGTGGCTTGATATTGAGTAAGAAAAAGGTTGATAAACGCTGTGAGAATGGGTCTGCAGAGAGAATTTCGCCGCGATCCCAACTGTCTGTTATCAGCCTGCAGCCAGGGAGGAGAAATCAGCAGAGCTGCCTGCTCCCTGCACACAGATGTGTGTGTGAGGAAGTCCGTGGATCGGTCAATTTGGACCAATCAGCGGGGGCTTAACGTAACGGCTCCGCGGACGTAACGTAACGGCTCTTCGGGATTGGTCCATTTCGTTCCGGGTACGGCATGACATCATGCCGTACCCGGAACGAAATGGAAGAATCAAATGGGCAGTGACGTATCTCCAACGAGGCGTTTTGGGGAGGTATTTTCTGTGTTAGAGTTTTACTCGCTACAGGGTGTACTTTGAGGGTTTTGACTCTGCACACCGTTTACATGCATAAAAACCTTCATAACACACAAGGGGACGGGTAATAACCGGAAAAGCATGACACCTCTCCTTTAAATAATAAAAAAACACAATTAGTAAAAAACAAATAGCGCAGAAGTACAGCATGGAAAATAAACCAAGTAGCTGGTACTGTTTACAGATTGTTAATAATTATATTTATATATTATATATTTGAATAACCTGCAGCGGCGTGCTCTCAGCTGAGATGGCGGTGAATCCCACGATGTCGCTGAAGTAAATGGAGACCGAGTCGAAGGCCTCGGCCTGAACCGTCTCGCCCCGTTTCAGCTGCTCCGCCACCGAGCTGAGGAGACACGTGGAACAGGTAGGGTCTGCAGTATTAGTACACACAGTACTCACTGAGGTAGTATCTGGTACACACAGTACTCACTGAGGTAGTATCTGGTACAGCAGTATTAGTACACAGTACTCACAGAAGTAGTATTTGGTACACGCAGCACTTACTGATGTAGTATCTGGTACAGCAGTATAAGTACTCGCAGTACTCACTGAGGTAGTATAAGTACACATAGTACTCACTGAGGCAGTATAAGTACACATAGTACTCACTGAGGTAGTATAAGTACACAGAGTACTCACTGAGGCAGTATAAGTACACAGAGTACTTACTGAGGAAGTATAAGTACTCAGAGTACTCACTGAGGTAGTATCTGGTACAGCAGTACTCACTGAGGTAGTATCTGGTACAGCAGTATTAGTACACAGTACTCACTGAGGTAGTATAAGTACACAGAGTACTCACTGAGGTAGTATCTGGTACAGCAGTATTAGTACACAGTACTCACTGAGGTAGTATAAGTACACAGCGTACTCACTGAGGTAGTATTAGTACACAGAGTACTCACTGAGGTAGTATAAGTACACAGAGTACTCACTGAGGTAGTATTAGTACACATAGTACTCACTGAGGTAGTATAAGTACACAGAGTACTCACTGAGGTAGTATTAGTACACAGAGTACTCACTGAGGTAGTATTAGTACACAGAGTACTCACTGAGGTAGTATTAGTATACAGAGTACTCACTGAGGTAGTATTAGTACACAGAGTACTCACTGAGGTAGTATTAGTATACAGAGTACTCACTGAGGTAGTATTAGTACAAAGAGTACTCACTGAGGCAGTATTAGTACACAGAGTACTCACTGAGGTAGTATCTGGAACAGCAGTATTAGTACACAGAGTACTCATTGAGGTAGTATTAGTATACAGAGTACTCACTGAGGTAGTATTAGTACACAGAGTACTCACTGAGGTAGTATAAGTACACAGAGTACTCACTGAGGTAGTATCTGGTACAGCAGTATTAGTACACAGAGTACTCACTGAGGTAGTATTAGTATACAGAGTACTCACTGAGGTAGTATTAGTATACAGAGTACTCACTGAGGTAGTATCTGGTATAGCAGTATTAGTACACAGCACTCACTGAGGTAGTATAAGTACACAGAGTACTCACTGAGGTAGTATTAGTACACAGAGTACTCACTGAGGTAGTATCTGGTACAGCAGGGTCTCTGCTTTCCTCTTCTCTTCGTGATACGCCTGAGTGCGCTCCTCCACCAGCTCCTCCAGGTTGTTGGCGTACAGCTCCATCCGGGAGAGGAGGTTATCCAGGATGTTAGTCCTCGACTCCCTGCACACACACACACACACACACACACACACACACACACACACACACACACACACACACACACACACACACACACACACACACACACACACACACACACACACACACACACACACACACACACACACACACACACACACACACACACACACACACACACACACACACACACATTAACCCACAGATCCAGAGAGGAGCGTACACTAGGCGCAGCGTACCACAGTAATCAGAAATGGGTCCTCTATAGAAACCATTCCTGGGTTGGTCCCTGAAGGCAGCATCTCCCTGGTCCAATGGGATTCCTCCATTATGATACTTACACGTTTAGTTCAGCAGAATAATCTCCACATATTAACACCACTTTATGATTTCTGACACAGACTTTATTTCAGGCTAACAACCAAAAACACATTCAGAGAACCATTGACTCTCAGACCAGGGGACAGGAAGTGATGAAAGGGGGTTTTAGGACTCATTCCTGCAGTTGGTTTGATTCTCTCTCACTTGTTCTGTTTGCGCAGCAGCAGCCGGACGTGGTTGAACTCGGGTCTCTCGGTGGGCTCCTCCGCCCAGCAGCGCTGCATCAGCTGGCCGAGCTCAGGGCTGTGGCTCTGGGGGTCGGTGGTGGGCCGGAGGCAGGGCCACTCTCCCAGAACCACCCGGTCAACGATCTCTGCAGGGGGGGGGGGGGGTTATTACTGCAAATGTTTACAAGGATGGTAATCATTTCCAATTTAGTTTTGATGCTGGAATCAGAATCAGAATCAGAATCCCTTTATTCGTCCCACAGAGGGGAAATGTACTTTGTTACATTAGAAAAGAGCCACGGACAGCTTAATGTTAACTAAGAAGCATGCATAAAACAATATTAAAGATAACTCATTGTATGTGGCCTGTAAGAGCTTGCAAAGAATATAATAAGTTTATTGTACGGTTACATGCCGCTTTACAAAAGCATGTTGCCCATAAACTACATGTCCCACAATGCATTTGGTTTTGTGACATGAGCACTGAAGAGACTTGCAATTATTAGCCCTAGACTTGTGCTTTCAGACGTAGTTAATTATGAAGCTATTACCCTATCCGATAATAATCCAATGCAGAGCCAATAATGTAATATAGTACATTATTTTATATATATTAAATAGTTATGTACATTTTTTTATAGTCTTAAAGTTACAACCGGCCCTTTGAGTGCAACTATAATGCGAATGTGGCCCGCGATGAAATTGAGTTTGACAGCCCTGGATTAAGGGAACTCAGGGATTTTAGCCTCTGCAGACCATTGACATGCACTAAAACCTATAGAACACACTAGAGCAGCGGTTTTCAAAGTGTGAGGCGCGCCTCCCCTGGGGGGCGCCAGAGAGTTTCAGGGGAGGCGCAGCGTGAGAAAAAATAATAACGAGAAAAAGACGAGTAAAGTGACACTTGCACACTTTTGGCTGTCTGTGGAGACCGAGTTCCCCCACCTCGCCAAACAGGCTGTAAAAGTGTTTTCCGCATTGACTCTGATCAAAGGAAGTGCCGGTCAAGGCTGCAGCCAGAGGATGATCTGCGTTTATTCCTGTGTGCATCGCACCGTCCAAGCCTCCCCGGGTTTGTGGATCTTCGGGAGAAGAGGTGGGGCCTGGGCTCCACCAGACCATCCAGGTATATCTGATTGTGTCAGTGGTTTATGTTAAGGAATAATTCTTCTAGATATCTAACCTTTTGCTCTGTGACGTTTTATGATCTACTCTGACGTCTGTTATCTCCTTTAAGGAAAGGCCTTGGTGCCATATGTGTTGTTGTCACCAGTTTGTGACCGGTCAACTTGTCTGGCACGAATGGTACTTGTTGTGAGAACGCTGAGGCACTTCTTTATCGGTGTTTGTGGACTCTAAGATGTGAAATCCTTGAGGCCATGACTGTCGGAGGCAGGTGGTTCAGTGTTCCCAGCTGTTTAGTCTACTCCTTCAGAGATGTTGATTACTCTCTGTGAACCAGTTAAAAGGTCTAGCATAGAGAGAGGCTCTTCAGAATTGATGTGGCAACTCTACCGTGTAGTCAGAACCTCTGACTCTTTGATTTGTGATGTGAATCCTCCGGCCGATACTCTGAATAAACCCATCAGTGTTTGACATCAAAGCTCCAACTCTCACCGTGTCTCCTTCCTGAGTCGGTGACCCCATGCATTACTACACAGAAGTTTCCTCCACAGTTTATAGTATGTGTTGTTATTTAATTGCCTATGTGCCTCTAACATGTAATTGCCAGGGGGGGAGTTTTTTTCAGGCTGGCTGTTATGTGATGGCCTTTTGCACCTGGAAAACTGTCTATCTGAAGGTTGGGGTCTGTGAAAGTGGGGATCCGGGAGAGGTTGGAGTCACCTAAGATGAGTGTCTTCTTCCGCACCTCCATTCCTGTATTTTTTTGAAGGTGTGTGGGTGAGTGAAGGGTTCCTGACGGGGTGGGGAGCCAGTTACCGCCGCAGAGGCCCCGGTCGGGTGGGAGGTGGATGCCTCAGATAATGGGCTTGAGTTCAGTAAGAATTTCATTGTGCCCTGCATCGTCATTGTTTCTGTGGAGTCTTCATCCACCTCAGGCCATTTCTTGCCTTCGAGTGGCTCTGCAGCATCTCTGGCTCCCTCTGCTGGAGGGACTGTGTGTCTGTGGGTGAGAGAGGAGAGATGGTGTTACTGCAGGGGAAGAAGGGGCAACAGGGGGGCAGGCTAAGGAATCAGCCCGGGTTGCACCCAGACGGCGGAGTACCTGTTGGGGAAGTTGATGGATCTCGACCTGGACCCGCCGTCTGGGGTAACGTTTAGGCAGCGGGGTCTGCGTACCCTCTCTGGGCCCCACCGCCGCCACCGTCCCCCCGATGTACAAAGGCTAAAGGAAGTAGATGGTGTGGTGGACGGGGGGCGATGAGAGGTAGGGAGGGAAGAGAGGGGAGGGTTGGAAGGTAAAGAAGGGTTGGGGGGAGAACTGGGTTTAGAAAAGGGTGAAGATAAGGTAGTAGGGGGAGGAAAGGACGTGGAAGGGGGGGGGGGGGTTAGGGTAGGGTGAGCGGGGGTAACAGGGAGAGGTGGGAAATTAGGTTTAGGGGAAGGAAGAGGGGGAGAGGATGTGGGAGGGGAGAGGTTAGGTTTAGGGTTAGGTGAGTGGGGAGGGGGGTGAAGGGTTAGACGTGGTTAAGGTACTGGCTGGCTGAGGGAGGGCAGGAAAGTCAAGAGGGGAGAGAAGGGAAGGTGGAGGGGCCTCCTCTGTTCGGGAGCCTCTGGTCAGGAGGTCCCTTAAGGTGGAAAGAGAGGATGCCGTGAGTCTCCGCCCGTACCTCACCTGGCCCCACTGGACAGCCCTGTCTAAAGGTTCCTGGTTGAACGGGGGGAGATTCTCCAACTCCACAGCAATGAGCAGGTCGTAGTGTTCTCTTAGAATTGTCATATTGTTGTGCATCCAAGTGTTTGTGTTATTTTGTAATTTTTCAAATGTCTGGATGTTAGGTGCAGCTGGTTTAATGAAGGATGTGAGTCGGGTTACCTGTCTCATCATCCCCTGTGGAAATATGCCTGTAGTGAATGTGTGGGTAAGTATTTCTGAGTGGTGGATGGCCTGGAGGAGTCTGAAATATGTATTTGTAAGTGCATGGAGTGGTGGTGGAAGATGGCGTGATTTGGCTGAGTGGATGTTGGGCCCTGTGGGGTGAGCAGAGGATTTCGAGGACGATGTATGACAAAGAAAACGGTCTAATTTTGTCAGTTTAGCTGTTACATCTCCTTGTTCTCTCTTGTCCTTTCTCTTTTGAGCGCCGCTCTTGTGCTTTGGTTTGCTGTACATTGTAAATGCAAGCTATTACATTTTTTATAATGCTACCGAACTTGCTGCTGCTAGCTACAGTACAGTACAGGTTGATTAAACGGTTGCTCGTCACGCAAAGTATCACGTGACATGAAAGGGAGCAAGGTCATTGGAGAGACAAATTACAAATTAATTTAGGTTGCTTGGTTACTTTGAAGACTGCGTGAACCGGTCAATGCCATTGGGGCCCCAAAAAATATATATTAAAAAAATATATATAAAAAATAATATTTAATTATATATACGGAAGGCACAGGAGGAGGGCCCAGACAGATGGCTTAAAGCATGTTTTAAATTATACAAAATCTACACATTTAATTGAAAATAAACTTTAAAAAATGATTTTTAAAAAGTAAATTATTAAATAAAATAAATAAACCGAGGGAAAACAAACTTCTAAAAATATGTTTAAGAGAAATGATAAAACTTCAGCGTTCTCCCATGAATAAAACATTTCATTTTTAAAATGCATATTTCATTTTGTGAGACTGTAATCATTTACACAATATGTAATATATAAAACTCAACTATTTTAGTGTCTTTGATGTAGAAAGCTAGAAGCTGTGTGTGTGTGTGTGTGTGTGTGTGTGTGTGTGTGTGTGTGTGTGTGTGTGTGTGTGTGTAAATCTTTTGAAGAAGTTGACTTTGTTTTTAATTAATGTTTTTAATAATAATGAATGTATTCACAGAGGCAGTTTGAACAGTGTTACAAGTTGAATCACATATCAAATTAACATTTCTGCTTTTAAATCCTCCTCTTTTATCTCAGTAAGTGCAAAAAATAGTAAACAGATTAAACAGACCGACAGGAAGTAAACACTAAATGGAACAGCAGAAGAAGACAGACAGGAAGTAAACACTAAAGGGAACAGCAGAAGAAGACAGACAGGAAGTAAACACTAAAGGGAACAGCAGAAGAAGACAGACAGGAAGTAAACACTAAAGGGAACAGCAGGAGAAGACAGACAGGAAGTAAACACTAAAGGGAACAGCAGAAGAAGACAGACAGGAAGTAAACACTAAAGGGAACAGCAGAAGAAGACAGACAGGAAGTAAACACTAAAGGGAACAGCAGGAGAAGACAGACAGGAAGTAAACACTAAAGGGAACAGCAGAAGAAGACAGACAGGAAGTAAACACTAAAGGGAACAGCAGAAGAAGACAGACAGGAAGTAAACACTAAAGGGAACAGCAGGAGAAGACAGACAGGAAGTAAACAGGTACAGTATGGGCTCTGCAGTGTTTTAACAAAAAGACTTGGACAGTTATAGAATGTGATTTTATAATATATGTCTCCCCCTGATGTCAACTGGTTTGTATTCAAAATATATGATGTTCATATATGTTTCTGTATAAAATAAATGAAAGAAAAGATGGCTTTAGGGTCTGCGCTGCTGGCTGATGGCGGTCAGACCACCACATCACCTGACCAATCAGGTACCGGTAACAGTTTAGTTCCTGACACCCATCTATAATTACAGGTAGCAACGTACAAAACTAGCAAGGGGCTTTCACACACTCTCCACAAGGTTTTGCTTGTTGAGCTCTTCGTAAAGATGCGGGTCCAGCTCACGGAGAGCATTGATCAGAACCCTGCTGGCTACAACTCCTTTATTTTGCACCGCGTCCACCACCTCTCGTGCTCTGTCCTTTTGGTATTTGGTTTTGGCTGAATCCATTTCAGATTTACTGATCACTTTAGAGTCAAGGAGTTTATCCAGAAGGTCGTCCAGGACAGGTAGAGACACTCTGTTAATGAACTCTGTCCGAAAGAGCAGCCACTTGTCTGCTGGGACTCTGCTCTCTGCTGGGACTCTGCTCTCTGCTGGGTCTCTGCTCTCTGCTGGGACTCTGCTCTCTGCTGGGACTCTGCTCTCTGCTGGGACTCTGCTCTCTGCTGGGACATTTCTCTGGGACAATTCCTTCCTTGGATCTGGAAGACAAACAGGGAAAATACTTCTCTTAAGGCGAGACACGGCAGGCAAAAACATCGTTTTTCCTGCACTGGTCAATTTTGAGATTTTGTGCTATTTTGATTCCATAACATGTTTTCTTTCAGGCTTTTGGAAGGAAAACGTACAAAATACACATTTAAGTGTTTATTTTACTATAGTTTGTCTATTTGCGTCTGTAGATTTCTCCTAAATTCACCAAAAGTTAGCATTCTAACGTAACATAAAGTACCGCGACCGCTGTTTGCACCATGTCATCAGAGGTATCGTTGGAAAGCTCCGTTTCTCCTGCACAATCTCATCGGATCCAAATATGGTCATTTCCTTTGTATCAGCAACCAATCGTGAAAGTGCAAAGGGGTCTTAAACCAAGAAACGAAATCTCATTGGCTGGTGTCAATTTCTGACAACGTGATTCGTTCAGATGCGTCACGTGGTGTGCTAAAGCACTTCCTGGTTAGCTTTCCGCTCGAAATTTAATTCTGAAAATGGCAAAATAACGGAGAAAAAAACGTTCACAGAGAAGACGACAACAATTGTCACTTGCACAAAGCAAGGTTATACAAAAAACAAATGACCCCGAACATGAAATACCTTCACGGAGTGCGTCGATGCGCAAGCTATCATCCAGATAACAGGAGGGTTTAGCTAGCGTCACACTGCAATCTTTAAAGGTCGTTTGCTCAAAATGAGTTTTTTCTCCTACTCTGAGTTCGAAATTTCCACTTCAGTAGCAGTTACATACACCAAACCTTCCAGTTATATTCCTATCAATATTATGAAGGCTTTTACAGAAGGGTTTGGTCATATATAATTCATAGCCTGAATTATATAACATTTTATACCTAAAAACATGGTGAAAATTGATATTTTAGGGCTGTTGACAGTATTTTCTGATTTATGGAGTGATACAAAGAGATATCCAAAATCCCTTCTGTAAAAGCCTTAGATACTAATATGACTACAAAATGAAATAATAATTTTGATCCTGGCTTTATCCAAAGTTCAGATTTCGGTTCCTGAAATGTGTTAAAATATGCGCATATTTCATGAGATAATGGTTCATTTGCATATTTAAACATGCTATTTCAGAAAACTTGTAATACAAAAAACAATTGCCTTATTGTAAGTAATTAACTGGAGAAATTTTTAGCTGATATCTTTAAGTTAAAAAAAAAACCCTATTCACCTGGGGTGTCTCGCCTTAACTCAACATTCCCAGAGGTGGATTTCTGTTCACTTAAAGTTATAATATGTAACATTTCCTCATTAAAATGTATAAAAACTCCTACACCGATGTTATTCATGTTTTGTTGAGTTGTGTACAAACATTATCCCAAATGGTTCAGAGAGACGTGTCATTTTAATTAAGGTAACAGTACGTTCATCACGGTCTCCTGTAATCGCGGCGTATCCACTTAACCATGAGAAGATGAAGACTACAACTCCCATGATGCCCCGCTGTTTCACCACACCACTAGTTTTTACTATGGTTTTAGAATATAACAGGTTGTGTGTTTAATGTCGTAATGATGCGCTGCCATGGAGCCTTAAAGAGCCTGTGACACGAGTTTCCCCCATCATCCAAACCCATCAATTTTAGTAAATATTGTCCCACTGAACTGATTTGGGATATTTGTACTTTGATAACCATTAATCTCCCCTTCAATGTTGACCATATTCTGGATCTTCTCGGGGGTTCTTCAAATCCCGCCAAATTATGTGTGACGTAATTGCGGGCCAAGAGCTCCAGCTGCACCGTTCCGGATCCCAGCATCTGCATGCAAACACATGATGACGCACACAGCAGCAAGTTCAGACAGCGATGGCAGTTTAATTTTGAACGTGTCTGAGAGCTCATATGAGGCTGAAGGATCGGAAAGTGATAGTCATGACATCGTAGACGATATTGGCTATATGCCCTACAGATTAGAACCATATGCCTCTGAGTCTGAATTGGATGAAACGAACTCCGAGTCGGACAGTGGAGACGACAACCCGCCCGAAGATCGTGAGATACCTCTCGATCTACAACGCATGAACAATTTTTTAATTTTTTTTATTTAGCCTTTATTTATACAGGTGTAAAATCTCATTGAGACACAAGGTCGCATTTTCAAGAGAGACCTGTCAGTGGTAACACTACCACACAAAGCTACAGACAGACAGGACACTAAACACAGAGGCAACAATAAAATACAACAATGTGGAATGGTTTGTAAACTATTTTATTTACGGAGTTTGCCTCGCTGCGGGGAAACGGTGGACCTAGTGTCCCGATCGGAGTGGGAATAATAATAATAATCATAAATCATAATCCGTGCATTTCATCCATTAATTTCCCCAACATTGTGGTAAAAAAAACACATGTTTAATCCACGTTGGTGTACTACAACTACAAAAAGCATCGCTATGTTCTTTCATCAGGAAATGCAGACCGGCTCAAACAAACGATTTTTAATCATCATCCTCACGATCATTTAATGTATCATATGTTCGCCGAATTGACATGAAAGCACTAATAAATGTAGTTTAATCCACTTGAGTTTACAACTACAAAAATAATCGGTTTGTTTTTATATCACATCCGACGGGAGGAAATTCAGCAGCTCTCACTACCGATTCTTAATCCTCATTTAATCATCATCTTCACCACGATCATTTATGTTTATGTTCCCCGAATTGACATGAAAAGCACTAACAAATATATAATGTAGTCAACTTCATTAAAACATTATTAACGTGCCTAAACTCAGTAATTCACCATTTCTACGCATGACAAACTTTGTCCGTGTTTGGCTCTCTCGCCGCACAGTGAAGCATTCCCGCATTGACGTCACTTCCGGCTTCCCCCAAAACCTCAAAATGAGTCGACGGAATTTCCCCGCGATGTTCGAAATTATTGATATTTATCGGAACGGTATCGCACCTTCTTTTTTAAGCTGACGGTTCGAGATTACTAGTAGCCCAATATTTCATTGCACAACAGTTGTTGGGAGGCTGTCACAGGCTCTTTAATAGAGGAGGCTATGAGATGGAGCTTTAGAGTTATCCAGTCCATCACTGGGTCTGAGCTCAGGTGGAGTCTTTACCTTCCAGTGACACGGGACAATACCAGACTTCCTTTTCATCTTGGTCCTGGACCTTCAAAACCACTGTCTCTGTGCTCGTCGTCAGGGAAACTAGAAATGTCGGATGGTAATTTGGTCCAAACCTGGATTCAAATTTTTTACTCTGGAAAAAAGAAGCAGAAGTTAAAGTGCACCTATCATGCTATTTTTAGGCATATATTATGGGTCTCAGATATATACAAATATATAAAAACATGCCTATGATGTGTTTTGCTCAAAATACAAACAGATTATGTATTTTAAACATCCCTCATATCCTTCTATTCCAGCCCTGTGAGAGAAAAGCGGATTTTGGGTCCTTAGCTTGAAAAAAAAAGAGGAGGCGGAGCTAATGCCTGATCAGAATTCTACCGGAGATAAAGTTAAATTCTGCCGTGATAAAACGCCATCCTGTTCTAAACCACATCAAGGATTATTTCTGAAACAGTATGGAGCTCAAATGCTTTTTGTCTTGTTTATCACAAGGTGAGTTTCTTTTTTTATTTCCTGCTTTTTAAACACATGTGCTTTCCAGTACAGGTTAGCTCTGAGTGTTAGCGATGCTTGCTAATGTAAACACAGACCATATTACGTCCAAAACACGTCAGGCATTGTTTCTGATAGCAACTTTCTGTGGGCCAGCATCCAAAATTACGTCATATCGGCAGCACATCTGGATCAGCTCCGTTGTTCCCTCGTTTTTAAAAGATTTGGGTACGGAGGAAAAGAGAGAGGGTTTTATTTTCTGACGCTGCGTGAGTTCCCTGACACACCGGGGACACATGTTTATGTATAAAAGACATCAAAAAGTGCATTTTGAATGATAGGTCCCCTTTAAATGTGTATCTGTTTCTTTCCTGGTTGTGGATCCACATGCAGATAAATGTGTGTTAATGATCATTGTGTTTCTTTAGTGGAGCATCAGTGACTCACCTTAGGGTGTGTGATATACACCATATCACAGTCCTCAGCTTCACAGTGCACACTGTAACTGTGATGAATTTCCAGCTCACAGTCGGAGGAGATTGGGATGTTCACAGCACGTCTGTGTTGTTCAGCAACCTTCAATAACAGGACATTTTGATCACTTTAAAACAACTTATGTTGACAGACCTGCAGAGATATAAGAATTACAATCAATTAAGAATAACATTATGAGGACATATATGTGTAGATTAATTAAAGTGTATAGGTTAGATATTTTTGGATGAAATTCCACTCCAACACATTTCTTTATATATTTATTAGGGTTGTCAACATTAACGTGTCAAAACTCGTGATTAATCTGGAAACCTTGACGCGTTAAAATAATGAATGCATATCAATCACATGACCAATTCCTGTATGCGATCACACATGATGCCGGCTCTAATCCCTAAAAACTTCCAGAGGGTTGGCTAGCCATGGCTAACATCACTATGATGTCTAATGGAAGATCAAGGACAAAATCCCCAGTTTTAATACTTAATGTCCGGCTCTGACCTGAGGACAAGCAAAGGATGTTGTAAAGTCACGACGAACCTTAACGGCACAAAACCCACGGTTTAAGGATTTTTTGCTCCACTGATCTAAACACATACTCCCCGTCATCGAGACGTCCTGCCTGGCAGATATTAGCAAATGGCCTGTAAATAGTTAATTCCCCAAGCACACAGATTTTGATAGTTCTTCTTTTCTTTATTCTTCCGTTTCTTATTTCACCCAATATTTTAGCTCTCAATAACTTCAGCATACTTTCAGCTACAGAAACCAAATATCAAAAATATTCAGCCTTTTCAGTACACGATGGGAAACTTTAAATTACTTCAAAACTTTGTATACTTTTTGAAATATTCAGCTTTTTAAACTATTTATTTAACATGGAACTCAATGGGAGGAACCTTCAAATCCTCTTTTAGCTACACCGTGCGCCACATACTTTCAGCTAGAGACTTAATTCCAACTTTAGAACAGTCACAAAACGTTCAGCTATTGAACTTGTATTCAGATTTATGATATCTTTTACAATTTTTTACTTATCACAGTTTAGGTTTTGGTACATTTTATAATGGTTGACTCTTGCCCCTTTTCCACCAAAACGGTTCCGTTTCAAGATCAGTTCTTGTTCTTTTCTGGTGCTTAACTGGTTCTTCTCTTTAGTGTTTCCACCACTCAGAGCCCGACTGGTGCTGCCACTGCTGCATCATGACATCACCGTTTAGGTCGATGATTTTCTCCGCCGCTCACAACAACATCAACAATTGGGGACTTTGTCGGGTCGATGATCGTGTTGCTTTTAATCATACGAAGCCAGATAAAATAAAATAAATCTACTTCTCCAACCTTGTACTTTTCTCCAGAGTGCCGTGGTTCATTGTTTATTAACGTGTTTCAGCGGCATTTAACAACCGTTGCAGTGCTGTAAAGTATTCACTGTCTGACTGTCACACAAGCAGCTGATACATATCCCCAGTTCCCCTTAAGTGAATGTGTGTCAGTCTGAATTGACGCTGTTTGGCATCACAACGCTGTTATGAAAGTTTCTCTGGTATAACATGGGTGATGTTAGCATAGCAACCGAAGCTAAACTGACTACTTGCTAAGCCGTGTTCTACAGGCACATTTTACCGGCGTATTTTTCATTATGATTCTACTTGTGATAGTCGGACATGACAACCTGTGCAGCCCATGTATTGATTCCATCCGATAGCTGCTATAATACAAAACAAAACGTCTGCCTGCTCTCCACAATGATCAATAACAGCGAACGGATGGTCAAAGTAAGGTACAAATAAACAGAATCACACGAAGCCTGGTTAGTGTTGCCTGACTTTATAAAGTGTGTGGTCGTGTTCTCACTTTGCTCAGCGCTACTGCTTGTTATGCTCTTATTTGCCATACTCGCCATTAAAGGTCCCATGTCATGGCCATTTCTACTGATCATAATTCCATTGTTGAGGTCTACTAGAATAGATTGACATTGTTCAATGTTCCAAACTCACTTTAGCTGCTCATACAGCATCTCTGTATAGTATGTGTATTCACTCTCTGTCCTAAACGGCTTGTTGGAGCTCCTGCCCCCCCCCTCCCTATGAGCCCAGTGTGCTCTGATTGGTCAGCTCGCCCACTCTGTTCTGATTAGTCCACCACCGTTACAACTGAACATCAGTGATTATGTGTTACAACGTTGTGTTTGTTAGCAACCAGAAAATGACACCAGTAATGACCAACAGATGAGAAAGCTGCGTGGGGTCTGGGTGCCGTGTTGGCGGGACGTTGCGGGGCTTGCTGCTCCGCCCTTTGAGGCTCGAGGAGCGGTCAGTGTGAGCTGGATTACTGGTGTCGTTTTCTGGTTGCTGCGTGGGGGCTGAGTGAGTGAGTTTGTGTTCAGAGCTTGGTCTATATCCAGCATCCAGGGAAACAACTCATGAGATGCGCCGGTGAAGATGGCCGCATTGTCTTTGTGCTCCTCTCCAACTTTGCCCATTTTCGTATTTTGTACATATTTCTTTTACTTTTGCCGTTTTACTTTTAACATGGTTCGCAACATGCTAGCCGACCGCACCTACTCTGCCATACAATATAGCAGAGAGGAACTTTTCCAATTGCGAAACTTCGTGGACAATATTAACCCTCCGACAGACAATGGAGATTCACCATGGCTACCTGTTGCTGTTCTACCTGAGAGACGCAAGAAGAAGACAAAGCGGGGATGCCGGGCCGGGTTGCTGGTCAGACTGAGAAAACGTGAGAATCGGCCCCCTCTTCCGAGTATTCTTCTGGCTAATGTTCAATCCATTGAAAATAAGCTAGATGAACTCAGAAGCCGGATTGCTTTTCAACGGGACATTAAGAACTGTAACGTGTTAATTCTCACTGAGACTTGGCTCAACCCCGCTATCCCGGACTCCGCTATTGTCCCTGACGGATTCTCTATTTTTCGTCAGGACCGGACTGCAAACTCGGGGAAAAGTAAGGGAGGCGGTGTGTGTGTAATGACTAACAACAACTGGTGCTCAGATGTGAAGATTATTTCATCGGACTGTTCCGCACAGCTAGAGCACCTCATGATCTCATGTCGGGCCTTCCATCTGCCGAGGGAATTCACATCTGTTGTGATAACAGCAGTGTATATCCCGCCGCAGCCACTCGCCGACAACAACACGGCACTCGATCAGCTGTTTGGGTTTATTGATAAAACCGAGACTTCACGGCCAGATGCGGCGTTCGTTGTGGCCGGAGATTTCAACACCGCCAACATGAAGAAGGTTTTGCCAAAATATTACCAACACATCAACTTCCCGACGCGCGGGGGAAACATACTGGACCATGTTTATTCCCCTTTCCGGAATGGATATAAGGCTCTCCCTCGCCCTCCCTTCGGCAAATCAGACCATATCTCACTACTGTTGTTGCCTGCTTACAAGCAGAAACTTAAAAGGGACAGACCGATAACAAGGACAGTACAACGATGGAGCGAGGAGTCAGATTCAGCACTGCAGGATTGCTTTGCATCTACGGATTGGAGTGTGTTTGAGGACAATAACATCAACACACACACGGACACTGTCATCTGCTACATTGGGAAATGCATCGATGACGTGGTACCGAAGGTTTCTGTACGGACATTCCCAAATCAAAAGCCCTGGGTAAACGGTGAGGTGCGCGGCAAACTGAAAGCGCGCACTCTCGCGCACACAGCGGGAGATTTGGAGGAGTACAGGAAGTCTAGGTATGATCTCCGGAGAGCAATAAAAAATGCAAAGAGACAGTACAAAGAGAAGGTGGAATCTGACTTCAAAGGCTGTAACACTAGGAATATGTGGGCGGGACTAAGGACAATGACTGACTACAAAGGAGCAGCGGGGGGTGCTGCGGGAGTGTCTGCGTGCGCATCTCTCCCAGATGAGCTAAACAGTTTTTTTTGCACGCTTTGAGAGCAGCCAGGCTGTGGAGGTACAGAGGGACCAGGAGCTACACTGCCCTTTTGTTTTAAATAGGGCAGATGTGTGTAAATCCTTTAAAAGGGTTAACCCACACAAGGCTCCTGGACCTGATGGCATCCCTGGCCGTGTTCTCAGGGTGTGTGCAGTTCAGCTGGCAGAGGTGTTCACAGACATCTTCAACAGGTCCCTGCTGCAGTCTGTAGTCCCCACATGTCTTAAACACTCCACCATCATTCCTGTCCCCAAAAAGACAATCATCACCTGCCCCAACGACTACCGCCCAGTAGCACTCACCTCCATCATAATGAAGTGCTTTGAGCGGTTAGTCAAATTATTCATCACCTCCTCCCTCCCTGAATCTCTGGACCCCCTGCAGTTTGCCTACAGAGCAAACAGGTCCACAGACGACGCCATAGCCCTCACCCTCCACACTGCCCTCTCACACCTGGACCCGAAGAACAGGAACACATATGTGAGAATGCTGTTCATTGACTACAGTTCAGCATTCAACACCATTGTGCCCTCCAAGCTGGCCATCAAGCTCAGAGACCTCGGGCTCAACAGCGCCCTCTGCGACTGGATCCTGAACTTCCTGACGGGCAGACCCCAGGCAGTGCGGGTGGGAAACATCACATCCTCCACCCTGATTCTTAACACCGGTGCCCCTCAAGGCTGCGTGCTCAGCCCTCTCCTCTACTCCCTGTTCACCCACGACTGCGTGGCCACACACAGCTCCAACACCATCGTGAAGTTTGCTGATGACACGACCGTCATCGGCCAGATCACAGACGATGACGAGACGGCATACAGAGAGGAGGTCGAAAACCTGACATCTTGGTGCCAGGAGAACAACCTCCATCTCAACATCAGCAAAACAAGGAGCTGATTGTGGATTACAGGAAGCAGCAGGGAGAGGGACACGCCCCCATCGCCATCAATGGGACTACGGTGGAGAGAGTCAAAAGCTTCAGGTTCCTTGGGGTCCACATCACTGAGGACCTGACATGGTCTCTTCACACCACCACCATCACCAAGAAAGCTCGACAGCGGCTCTTCTTCCTCCGCAGGCTGAGGAGGTTCAAAATGGATTCCAGGATACTCTGCAACTTCTACAGGTGCACGATAGAGAGTATCCTC